CGGACCTCGACGACTTGAGGAGGGCGACGCGGGTGTTGAGATCATGGCGCACTTCGACCCGCTCATGCGGGTTCCCATTTGCTACCCAGCAGTGCTTTGATCAAGGCGTCCAGCTTTGTCAGTTTAGCGGACACGAGCTGAATGGTGTTGTGGAAGAAGTTGATCTTCCAGCCACACCAAATAAGGCTCTGGAACTGCCTCTTTTTCCACAAAATTGGCGCAGCAGTGGCGCAGAAGAACAGCACCACTGAGGCGAACATTTCTGGAGCGCTATCTTGGACGAGTGCGCGCAGAAGGTCGTCCACGAAAAGGAAGGCTTTGTCGGGCTTCCAAGCCAAAAGCGCATTTGGCAGGCTGCTGAAGACCCGACCGTTCATGGAGCGCCTGCCTTGGGTGGACGTTACCTACTGCAAGTACGGGACTCCGTACAGGAAGCAGACCAGGCTGGAGGCCGAGCCGAGGGCTGTGCAGGAGCGGCAGCCGGTGCAAGGCGTGGGAAGACGGCATCTGAGGGGCGCCCAAGGGGGGCCTCGACTCATGGGGGGGCCAGCGTGAGAGGGTCAGAGGGCAGTCGCGCAAGCTGCTTTACAGCATTCCTACGGCGCTGTGCAAGGAGATTGCGAGTGCGGCCACGGCAGAGCTTGCGGATCGGCTGAGCATCCCGGACTGAACCGAGGATCATTTTCTTATAAGAGAGAATTTCCTAAGGAGAGGCGCTCACCGGGCTGGGATAAGATCCGTCTCGGACCTGGGAATAAAAGTCTTTTAAGGAGAGGCGGTCACCGGGCTGGAGGCAATAAGATCCGTCTCTTGGCGATGATCCGTCTCGGACCAGGATAGATTTTTTTATTCTCAGGAGAGGCGCTCACCGGGCTGGAGGCGATAAGATCCGTCTCGGACCTGGGAATAAAAGTCTTTTAAGGAGAGGCGGTCGCCGGGCTGGAGGCAATAAGATCCGTCTCTCGGCGATGATCCGTCTCGGACCAGGATAGATTTTTTTATTCTCAGGGAGAGGCGCTCACCGGGCTGGAGGCAATAAGATCCGTCTCTCGGCGATGATCCGTCTCGGACCAGGATAGATTTTTTAGCAATAAGATCCGTCTCGGACCTGGGAATAAAGCTCTTCTAAGGAGAGGCGCTCACCGGGCTGGAGGTGGAAAGAACCGTCTCGGACCTCGGAATAAAGGAGAGGCGCTCACTGGGCTGGAGGTGGAAAGATCCGTCTCGGAAGATCCATTTCCTATTCTGAGGAGAGGCGGTCACTGGGCTGGAGGCGGAAAGAAGCGTCTCGGACCTGGGAATAAAGGTCTTTTAAGGAGAGGCGCTCACTGGGCTGGAGGTGGAAAGGTCCGTCTCGGAAGATCCGTCTCGGACCTGGATATATTTTTTTATTCTCAAGAGAGGCGCTCACTGGGCTGGAGGTGGAAAGATCCGTCTCGGAAGATCCGTCTCGGACCTGGATATATTTTTTTATTCTCAGGAGAGGCGCTCACTGGGCTGGAGGCGGAAAGATCCGTCTCGGAGATCCGTCTCGGATCGAGGGAGAAAAAGAATTCCCAAAGGCACTTGACGAGTAAAAAAAGAAAGATCCGCGCCCGGGTGGAATCGAGCCCGCGGTCTGCAAGCTTCAGAGCTGCAGCGCCTCTTCCGATTGAGCTATCGCTCTGTCGGGAAGCCCGCGATGAAGCTGTGGCGCAGGTAGCCCGCGGTCGATGTCGATGTTGCGCGCCGTGTCGTCGTAGGTCCCAGCAAGGACCGAGGAATCCCTTCATAGGATTGTGCGGGTACTGCAGGCTGCCCAGCTGCATCTGCGACTCCAGGAGACTGTCTTCCTGCCTGGCCACGCCGATGGGGGCCACGTCCTGCCCCGGGTTGGCTGCGCTGCGGGAAGATGCTGCCGCCGCAGCTGAACCTGGTTATAGAAATCGAGTTCGCGGACGCGACGACTGCGCTGTGGTCCGAGAACGCCGGGGCGCACCCGGCGGGAGCCACGCTGAGCACCGACTTTGAGATCCAGAACGTTCGAGTTCTGGCCTCCCAGGTCGTCCTGGACTCTGCGCTGGTTGAGTCCTTCAACCGCGTGCTCCTCTCAGGAAGGTCGCTTGTGTTCAGCTACCCCACGGTGCACAGCGCAGGAATGGGTGGAGCAATCCTGCGCCCGACTCAGGATCCTGTGCTTTAAGTGGAGCAATCCTGTGCTGGACGCAGGATTGAGTGGAGCAATCCTGTGCTGGCCCAGGTTGGCAGTGGCGTTTCCCCGTCCGTCAGAACTTTCCAACAATACAAAGATTCCTGCTGTGTGTTGCCTACAGCGCGGCTGTGCAGCAAACCGAGCGGTGGATGCTCAATTGGAGGCCGCCGATGCAGACAGAAGCGCCTCCAGCTGCGACCCTGCTGGCAAGTAGGCGCCTGCCTCCTCGCCTTGACGGCGGCTGCGGCGGCGTTTTTTGGAGCTTTCGCAACTGGTCCATCGAGGTCGAGTGCCGCGTCCAACCTGAAAGACAGTGTTAGAATCTTGCGACCGACAAAGGGTGCGCTCGCTCTTTTTCTTTATAAGGCGTTGCTTGGAAGTTAAGGCTCGGGGGTGCAGTGCGTGTCCTTTCCCCGTGTCCGCACCCCCCTGCGGAGCTTCTCAAATGCCCCCGCCGTCAACAGAGCGTGTTCGACCAAGCGCCAGGTGTATTACCTGTGAGGCGTTAAACAATCGAGACATTGGTTGCTGTAGGATGCTCTGCGGGCAACCTACTGGTTGTGCATGCGGCACACAATGCAAGGCTGCGGCATGCCGCCGAGGCAGTGACTGCATGCGGCGGCATGCGATCGCGGTTGTACACTGCACATGCGGCGGCACGCGAGCGCGGTGCCTAAGGCACCGCCATTTTTACCCTAAAGCATGACCCTTAGGTGGCTTGAAGCAGGAAAACGGCCACGCGTCCGAAGAAGGGAAAATGAAAACCCTAAACGTTAGAATCTTGATCACTGCTTCAATCCGTAAGGGAATATACATCAAGAGACAAAAGAGAACGACCGACAAAGGGTGCGCTCGCTCTTTTTTTTAAGGCGTTGCTTGGAAGTTAAGGCTCGGGGGTGCAGGGGGAAAGACAGTGCGTGTCCCTTCCCCGTTTCTGCACCCTGCGGAGCCTTCTCAAGCAAACGGCCTAAACTATTGCCCCCTCTTCAGAGTGTTTGCGATGCACTCCTATGCTCCGGCCGCCACGGTGCGTCGGGCGGATGCAATGACAGCGCGGATTTATGGGGCCAGAAATCATGCGGGCGAAGTCAAAAGCGAACATGCGGCTTGCTGTCAAACGCGGAAGTTTCCGCGGCTAAGCTGATCAGCCCACACGTTGTGCTCGCCTGGGATGTGCGAAGGCTAGCACTGACCATTTGTGCTTGTAAGCCCACGCTGCGACGAGTTGCACATACCAAGGATGCCGAAAGATTGCAAGTTTTTTCTTCTTCTTTCTTCCAGGTTTGCCGAACCTTTGGGATTGCCTATTTTTTTGAGATTCTTACAAGCTTGTAGGCTTGTGCAGGTTCCATAAGGGTCATCTGTCTTGTTTACACATTTTCAGTCTGCGCAGGGCCATTGCCCTTGATTGGCCTCACTGGTTCGCCATTCGGGCCCGGCCTCTCGCCCAGCGTCCCGTATGCTCCGCGGAAAAGAAGAAGAAAAAGTTTTTGTTGGTTTGTCCTATCAAGGAACCATAAGTGTACCTGTGTGGCGGGTGCAACTAGTTTTCTTGGAACATGCCCAATTGAAGTAGTTACTTGGCTCAAGTTCTCTAAGCTAGCTTAGGAGTCATGCACAACAAGGTGCAAAGGATCGTAAATCGGTTCGTGTGAGAGCAGGACAATAACATCGAGCTGATTCTCTGATTGTGTATTTGTTTTCTTGAATTGGGGCATTTGCATTTTGACAGGACAGTGCAATGACCATTGGGGCACATTGCGCACATGGCAAGCTCTGAATTCACACAAAGGCATCGGCGCCGCGTTGAAAAGGCCCAATTAGATTCAAAGGCATACTGGAAGTCCAGCGACTCATCCCGGTTTGACTTCTCTTTTTGCACTATCCAGATCAACCGTCCTGTTCCGTTTGCTTCACAGGATTCATCGGGCATCTCTTCAAATACAAGGGACTCGCAGCTTTGCGCGCGGAGAAAAAAACAGAAACACACTGAGTTGTCAAGGGTGCTGTTGGCGTTTCTGTGAGGAGGAGGAGAGGACAGTTTCCTGCGTTTGCTTCCGACTCAGGATGTTGAATTGGGTTGACAACTGATTTTGGAGATATTTTATTTTTTGGGCTCGTGGCTGCTTTGAAAAACACAAGAACCTCGCTTGAGTGGCACCTGCGCTGGTTTGAGTGTCAGTGGAGCCACTTGCCATGCCTGCGCCAAGTTTCAATTATATCACTTTTTGCGCAAAAAGGCAGGACACCGCAATTCTGCATTGGCAGGCAGGGGAAAGGCAAATTTTGTTTTTGGGCATGCCCCCGCCCCCCATACATTTGAGCAATCATTTGCCTCGGGATTGATAAGTTTGAGGGGTTGCACGACAGTCATGGTTCAAGGGGAACTGGACATGATCAATCAATTGTGCAATCAATGCACCAGCCCGACTTTGTTTCGCATGTGATCACAGGCTGCATACCATCTGAACTGGTTTTTGACCATTGGGTTGCACACACACACACACACAGCCAACATGCTTGTTAGCTGAATCACCTGCTGGAGTTGCATCACGACCATGTCGCAATGGCGCATTTGAAGCAGACCGTTCTTGGCAATGGCAGAGGATAGTTAAGCAGTTCGTGAGGCAAGGGGATGGTATCAAACTCCTCACATCTATCGTTTCACGAGGTCAATCCTGGGTCGCAACACGCGTAATCATGAACCAGCATGGACCTTTTTGAGCAGGGCATGTTGGAGGCTTGATTGAGCGTTGCAATCTGATCACTGCTAAAGAAGCCTTCATTGGATAAATGGTCTGCGCCAGGGATGCTGGACACTTCTCGCAGCTCAAGCACAGCCGTGGAGATCTGGCACTTCCGGATTTTCGTGTTTTCTGCTACAGCAACGTGTTTCCGGCCTGTCTAATAGGAGCACTGTGCAAGTTTTGCAGAACTTGAGCTGTGTCAGCATGCCTGCTTGTGTACTTGAAAAGTGCCCCGCCTTTCACGGCAGCTTGGCTTTGGGAGTCGAAGTGGCTTACACCAAACTGGCCGTGCGCTCAGATCGTCACTCGCGGGGTGTAGGATTGGCTCGCTTTGAATTCCAGCATGCTCCGAACAGCAGTTTTGCTCATTGAGCAGCCTCCGGGAGTCCATGTTTGGTACACTTGCATCCGGCGTATGTTGAGATCTTGTTGCTGATGTTTTTTACCTGGCAGCGTGATTCAGGTGGGCATGGGACCCCTTATCCAGACTTATTCAGCGAACAAACTGCGAATTTGCGAATAGTTGTAGCACTGCTGGCTTCTTTGCTCGTGGAATCTGGATTTCAGCTTTCTGTCCGCCTGCGTGTGTCTTAAAATCTTCGGGACCCGAGCTTTCTTTTGTGGCTTCCCTTTCCATGCCCCTTTGAACCAATCCAAAATGGATACACTCCCTCAGACTAACAGAAGGAAACTCCCCCACTTGGCCCTCTGTACATGGGTCGCCAAGCCTCCATGTCAGGCCCCCTTTTGCGCATTTCTGCGTCAGGTCCCGAGGCTTCCGCAGCTCTATGCTGCCCTCATACGTGGCTCGGCGAGAGTTTTCATTGCGGTGCCGGGGGGACGTCCAGAAGTCGGTGTGTCCGGAGCGCGAACTTTTGGGGAGCAGAAGCTGCCATTGACTCTGCTCTATCCAGTTGCTCGGAGCCAGTGCTTGAACGCTTTTTGCTCAGAGCGGGTCCCTCTCGTGCATGTGTGGGGTGTACAATCACCAGCAACTGCTTGCGCATGTTGGTACATTTGTCCCGAAGCAAGCATTACTATTGCCAGCAGTGTTGCGCAGACGATGGTGGATATCGTAAATTTCCGTTCTTTCTGTTCATCGGGCCAACTTCTACCACACAAGGGAGACCGAAACCTGCAAAACCATGCGCAGGACCATTGGCAACCCCCCCCCCCACTCCAAGCTTTATTTGGCACCCCCCAGAAGTCCCCTCCCTCGCCTGGATCCCCGCTAGCGTGTTTTCCCGCCACTCCAGATTCACCCCTCCTTTCTGATTGGGTTTTGGGGCATGTTCAGAAGAGAAGGATCCCAGATCAAAACGAAGGTCATGCTAAGTTTGGCCTTCATGAGCCTTTCAAAGACCGGTGCCATGGACCCGTAGAGACTATTTGGCAGACCCAACAAATTGCAGATTTTCAGTGCCCTCAAGCGCCCTTTCCGGCGGGTTCTGGGTGAAAAGAAGGCGGAGAAGGCATGATGAACCGCCCAGAAATCCGTCCACCGTGCCACGGCCGCACGGGCGCAGGTGCCGCGGTGTGGGACTGCGTGCTGGTGGGGGTGCTGGTCGCGCAGCTTGTGGACTTGGCCTCCATACCCTTGCTGGCGCCTGGGCTGATCCGCTCGGAGGGGGCGCCCGGATCCGATTTTCGTGGAGTCAAAAAAAGCTTGGGCGCTTCTTGGAGGTTGCTTGAACTGAGGTGGTGTCTTGCGGGTTGGTTCGCAGCAACCCATTGAAGAGGGGATCCTTCAGTTGTTTGGGGGAAGTCGCCCCGAATCCGCAGGTCGATTGATCTGAAATAGGAACCCTAAACATCGGGGCCCTTTTGAATGGTTTTGGTAGGTAGGCAGCCGGAATTCTCCAAATCCCCTAGCTTCTAGAGAGGGGTAGGCTGTTTTGCCAGTTCGGGGCCAGTATCCTGTTGGTGCTGCAGGCGCTGATCGAGGTGCTGTTTGTGCGCTTAAGTTGCTGGTGGCGATTATTGACGGTGCTTGTTTTGCGATGCTGCTGTGGGTGCTCGAGGTGCTGCTGTGAGTGCTAATCAGGGTGCTGTTGGGTGTGCTTGAGGTGCCGCGGTGGTTGCTGGCGGCGCTTGTTTGGCGATGCAGTCAGGGTGCTGGTCAGGGTGCTCTTGTGGGTCAAGTCAGAGTGCTGGTCAGGATTTTGGTCAGGGGTCAGAGTGCTGCTAAGGGTGCTGGTCAAGGCGCTGATCAGGATGCTGTTTGGTGCGCGCAAGGTGTTGTGTGTTGTGGCAGTTGCCACTCAGTCCTTGTGCTGGTGCTGTTGTAGGTTCTGGTCAAGGTGCTGGTTGTGGTGCTTTTAGGTGTGCTCAAGGCGCGGTTAGCAGTTGCTAGTGTTCTTGTTTGGAGATGCAGTTGGGGTGCTGGTCAGGGTTGGTGAGGGTGCTGTTTGGGGCGCTCCGAACGGACATTGGGGACAAGAGACCTCATATGGACACCGTACAAACACCAGCATAAGACCCCAAATAGCATGACGCCTGACCAGCACGACCAAGCACAGCAGTACCACTACCTGGAGTGGTGCGAACCCTCTTGGGAGAGTGAATACCTCCAGGCTAGAGACACAACATGAGGTCCACGATTTTACAAGGAAAGATCAGGCCCAGTTCATGGCAAGTCAAGGGGATTTCCGTTACGACTTTGCCAAAGGTGGTGCAGCCAACATTTCCAGGTCTCACTACACCCTACACCTCCCACAAAGGACAAGGGGACTCACTCAATTTCCCATGTCATGTTGAGCTGTTGTCAGGCGGGCATAGACACCGGCCACTACTTGCCCTTGGCTGTGCTACTGTACCACGCCATCGCATTCGGGTTTTGCGGCTTCTACGACTTGCTCAGCATCTCAGCTGAACGCCAGTCGTTTTTACGGCCCGGGTTGCTTTGGCCTTGGCTTTGCTCTGAACGAAGAGGGCTTGTGCTTCTTAAGTGACCTGAGAATACCATGCATTCCCTTACCACCATAGGACTGGACGTGAGGTTTGGTCCGCATATCAATGTCCAGTGGTCTATGCTGCATTTAGGAGGGGCGTCTCTCGAATGCATCTGTTCAACCAAAAGAAACCAACCATGACCTAACACGCTTTTCAACTGACAAATCCCTGACCCAACTTTCCAGTCGGGGAGCAGAAGCAAAAGTGTCTGTCGCGTGGATGATGTGCCAGGTCAGCAAGGCAGTGGGAGGTCCCGGACTTGGCACCGCACGCTGGTCTCGCGACGTGTCCTGCCGGGCTCCCCAGGAAGCAAGCGACTTGAGACTCAGCGAGGCGAAGGTAGGAACTGGCGGCCGGTCTCAAGTTGGATGCGAAAGACAGGACAAAAGCAGAGGGATTCGGCTGAAGGCCCCCACCCCGCCCTGAAAGAATCTCAGAACTCTTCTAAGAAAGAGTTCTGGGAACCCTTTTCGGTTCCCGAACATGTCGAGGCTCGAGCTTGCTGGTGGGCCTTCGGGCACAAAGCTCTACTTGGGCCGCATTTGCTTCATTGCGCCTTGGCACGAGACACGGTGTGGTTCTTTGAAACCATGCGACGCGAAACTGGCTTCAGAAAAGGGACCTGAATGGAGGCGTTGCTTTGGTTCCAGGAACCCAACAAGGGTTCCCTCAGCAAGCACAGGTCTATATAGTCTTTTTTTTGGCATGCCCTTATGGCAGGTGAGCGGGGGGGCGATGTGGCTTGCCATCCGCGTGCTCCTCCTACTTGGGGAAGACACGATGGCGTGGGGCCCAGGGGCTGGGGTACGACTTGACAGCACGGTGTCATTCAATGTCAAGGTATCAGCTACACCGATCTTGGCTGCCGAGAGGGTTGCTTTCCAACTGCAGCTGATATGGGTGTGTCTTGTTGAGGGAACCCAGATTTGGTCGGTTTTAAGAGGAACCGCAAGGCCAAGCACTGTTTTGGGGTCCTCCGATTCAAGAACACCTTGACATCCTAAGTTTGGGACACCTGTTTCTACGCGTTCAGTCAATGTGTTGCTTGTAACAATTCTGTCGGGCTTGGCTCGCGATGCAAGCTTGAGTTGTTTTTTCTTCATTTTCTGGGGGGCAAACTTGGGGATTGTAAGTGGTATGTTGGGGTACTTTGTGGGTTTACCAGTGCAGTGTTTGGCACTTGTTGTCTTGTTTGCGAGAGTACCCCTTTGTGGTTGTTGCAAATGAAAACCAACAAGCCCCCACCTTTTCATTCTTGCAAACAGTAAACACAAAAACACAGTCCCTGCTGACCTTTGTCTTTCTAAAGGTACTCTTTCAAGAGGGCTTCTCTTGAGGGGCCCATCACATGGCACTGGCCCCGAATGAATAAACCGCTGCCTGTTTCCCAGGGGTTGTTCCTCTCCAGTGGTCTGTGAGTCCCCTCCGTGAAGATCACGGATTCTCCATGAACTTCGGGGACACCCCGGAAAAAGACTAATAAGAAGAGCAACAACCATATATTCCAAAAAACAACACCCCCCCCCAAAAAAAAAAACAATCAGAAAACAAATCAAACAAGCAAGACAAGAAAGAACAAGAAAAACAACCAACCGACCCAAACAGAAAGGAAAAAGGGCTTGACTGTTCTCTGGGGTCGAGCCTTCGAGGTGCTGACCTGCTTCATTTTGCTGATGTTCGTGTCCTACTGCGCCGCGGGCTTGGCGGCCCTGGAGCCCCGGAGGAGTTTGCCGGGGCAGCTGGTCCAGTGGCTCTGCACTGGCTGGGGCGCGCGCGAGGCGCTCTTGCAGGCGGGGGGGGGGTGAGTGACCCCGCGGGGCGGTTGGTCGGCTTGTCGGTGCGTGTGAGACTGTTCTTTTTGGGGGGACCCGCTCCCAAAAAGGCGTCGGCCTTTGTCCTTTTGGCTTCCCTATCAAAAGTAGCAAAACAGGGGATACCCTGGCAAAACAACAGCACTGATGCAAAGATGCTGAAACCTGATCTTTCGGGTTCGGGTGCCGCAAGCTGGAAGCTTGAAGTCCCAAGCTTTGGTGGCAATCCATTCTTGAGGTGTCCGGGTGTGTCTTTTTGTAGGGAGTTGCCCCCCAAAACAAGAACAACAAGAAAAGCAAAACAAACAAACAAACAAACAAAAAAGCACATATAAGCAACTAAAAAAGCAAAATAGACAATCAAACAACACATACAGAAGAATAGGCAGAAAATCAAACAACAAAACAAGGGAAGCTGGTTGTCCTCTTGGTTTCCCTTGTAAACCACAAACAAAGGGCGTACCAACTCCAAAGACGACGGATCGCCGCAAAGCATCCACTTTTGAGGGATCCAGTTTCAGCTGCTTTTTGCTGAAGCTAAGCGAATCCCCGACTGCCAGGGGCCGCTGAAGATCTTAGGGGCGCTGCTGATGCTGCCCTTTGCGGCCTCCGTGCGCCTGCCGCAAATTCTTTTCGCCATGTTGGGTGTCGTGTGTCGTGGGGTGTGGGCATGTGCCGTGCCTTTTGGGTTCCACACCCGGCCATACATGCCTCGTTCAAAAGTTTGGAGGGAGGTAGGGGTAGACTGTCCTTGAAAGATCCCAATGACAAGGGCGTTTTGGTGGGACTGAAGGCTCGTTCCTCCGCCTGAGACAATCAGACACATTCCTCAATTGTATCGCAGCAGGTGATTGCAGCGCAGATTTGGCTCCGGACCATATCCTTCATCGTGTGGCTGGTGTGGGAGCCCAGATACATGACCAAGGGCTCACGGACGTAGACAGGAAACTCGCACATAATCCAGAGCAATCCAACCTTGCAAGACCCTGAGCTGCCAAAGTGGATGACAAAGAGCCAGTGTGGTTTCTCATTTACCCTCTCCAAGAACCCGGGGTTCAAAAAACCCAACTCCAAACCACAAATCCCAGCCGCAAAAATCGGAGAGGCAGTGGCATGGCCCTGCTGCCGGCTGCAGCGCGCCGACAACGTCTTCGACGCCTTCGAGCGGGAGCTGGCCATACCGCTGCTGCAGTGCTCCTTCCTGGCCTTTGCCTGCACACTTGCTGGCTTGGCCCGGGCCCCTGAGAGCCCCAAGATGTGGGTCCCGGGTTGATCAATGTTTTGGTCGGCTCCAGAGAACCAAGGGCAACTTTTCCCACATAGGAACAACATGGGGTTGATCAATCTTCCAGTTTTGACCAGGGAACTATCGTCATTTTGGCGGCTTTCCCCAATGGTCATCCCATATGGACCCCATGTGGTTGCGAAGGGTGTCAAAATAGATGATTCGGACCCCCTACCTCGAGGGGGGTGGCTTGCCTTTTGAATTTTCTTGAGACCAATCTGAAAAGGGTTCCTGCAGAAAAAAGAGTAGATGCGCACACAAGGGGCCGCTTCGGTTAGCATATGTGAAGGGCAGAGTCGAGCGGCAAGCAAGAACAAGCTGTTTAACAGCCTTGTGCAATGCAAAAGGGATGGGCACGATCCCAAAAGAATAGGCTCTCACGTTTCAGAGGACCGCTTGATCGAAAAGCACAATTTAGAATCCCTTGCCTTTTTCGGGGGCCGCTTTTAGTCAGAAATTTGTGTCAGTCTGTGGACAACCACAGGTGGCAGGGGTACTGCCAGTGTTGCTGTAGCAACAGTGAGCTGAAAAGCACGTGCTGCTTTGCAAGAAAAGCTGAACACATTCTCCTCTCTCTTGTTGTCTCTCTTGTGGAGCTTGGTCCTGCATTGTAGTCAAGCAGCAAGAGTGTATATAATGCCAGGTTGTTGATTCGGTTGTCACTATTTGAAGATTTGAAGAGAGTTCTCCAGTTGTACCTGACCTGTGGCAGCGCTTTGCGAACGCTTTTCCTTCTGATGGTGGTTACGCACACGGCTGGAGAACGCACTGCAAGCAAACCAACCGCAAAGAGCTGCAACTGCCAGCAAAGCACAAGATCTGATCAAATCTGATTGAAGTGAAGCAGGGTCTGGTTCAAAATTGGTGGGTCTTTTTTCGGGGGTCCTATTTTTCTGGTTTTAAAGGAACCTCCAAAGGAATACTCCACCATCTTGGGGGTTCCCTAAAGCATGACACACCCAAGGGGTTGAGCTACAACATACCTCGAGTGATCTGGAGTGACTCCAGGACAGTTTGGACAGCGAATCAAACTGCACCCCCTAGCGCAGTTTGCCCGAAGCCCAAAGATGGGTCATTGCAATCGGCAACAGCTATGCTGCAACATGTTTTCTTACATATTCAATGGACATACTTGCATTAAACCTGGACTTTTTGTCAGGTTCCTTCAATGTATCTATTTTCAAGTAAGGTCTGCTCAGCTTTTGCAGCAAACAAGTTGGCAGACACACGAGCTGTGGGACAATCACACGACCATACAGTGTGTATTTGCTGGAAGGATGAAAAAGGCCATTCAAATGGTCTTCCCAAAAAGTTAAAGTCCAAAAACTCAGGAAGTGAGATTATTTTTAAGCTCTTTTGGGCCAAGTGAACCCACCGGGCCAGTTCCCACCACGTTGGTCTCGGGCGGAGACGCAGACCGAGACAGAGATTTCTGGAGCTCAGGTCTTGGAGGCCGAGCTGTCGCGGCAGCAGCGTCTGGCGGTGGGGGTGGCGGCCACCTACTACACGGCCATGCTCTTGGCCTGGACGGCCCCTGCCGTGCTGCAAGCCAAGGCAGGCGAAGATCAGAAGCTTTTTTTTTTTTTTTAAGAGCACATGTGACGCAGCCTAAGCATGCAATCTCTTTGTTGCAGTTGGCGAGGTGGCAGCAGAGGAAAGCTACGATGCCCACCCCGTGTCGCGGCCTCATGCTGAGTGGGTTTGATGAAAATAAATTCCCCTCTTCCATTTGGGCCTGGGAGGGGCATGACAGGAGAGTGACCGGGAAAGAAGGAAGTACAAGGAATCATATCACCTTCTTTCCCTATCATTCCTCTCTGTCCTTATTATCCTGTTCCTTCCAAGATAGAAGGTAAACAGGATAAAGACAGTAGGGAAAGGTGAGGACAGAGACTCACTTATAGACACAGCCTTTGATTGAGGATTTTTCCGGTAGAAATCTCTTGATGAGGAAAAACAATCCTCAATCTAATGCTTGTCCTTTCCCTCTCCTGTTCACTCGGTAAACCTCTTGACCATAGGAAAGAGAGTGAAAGAGAGTGACAAATGGAGAGGAAAGGAATGAGAAAAGAGATAGACAGTTAATATGATGAAGTGATGCCATTCCATTTTTAATCCTTCATCATATCCTATCTCTTTCCATCTCCTTCCTCAGGATCCAGAATCCTGGATTTCTGGATTCATCCGGAGACCTCGCCAACAACAATGGTTGGTTTTTTGTTGGCTTCTTTTTCAACGCCATCCAAAAGGGTCCCTCTTCTTGAGACACCCAAAAGGGAGCACAAGCACCGGGTAATTCATCGCCAGCTGGCATGAGGCTGGGGGAAGAAGGATCGGTGCAGCTTCTGTTTGGCCCTCAGAGTGTGTGTGTGTGTGTGTGCGGAGTGACAGAATGCCCTGTCACCACCTTTTCGGTTTCTCAGCAGGGGGGTCACCCGCAGTCACGACCGGTGACCCAACGAAGAGGGCCGTGACCTGCGCTGATATCTGACCTGATCAGTCAGACGTACCTGCCGAGATGGTTGTGTTGTTCTGAATGTCCTTTTGGTCCCCCCCCTGAACTGCCGTTGCTTCTGGGTGTCCCTGTTAAAGTAGCTACAGGGAAGCCAAGCGTTATGCGAGTCGAAGCTCATCATACTCGAGACTCATCAGTTGTACTCGAGACTCATCAGTTGTACTCGAAAGATTAGCACTCTCCATTTGGAGTTTAAGTGTGTACACCCCATTCGTGGGGAATCCTCGGGTGTACCCATTGTGTGACCCCGGGCCGGCTCTGTCGGAAAATTTGACCTCAACGTGCTGATCATAGAACAGCGGAATTTCACATTTAACCAGGAACGAGGTTTCACTAAAAGGAAGACAGCGGTCAGATCATAGAGACGTCTCACCCTCCCTCCTCACCTTCGTCGTCCGCGTGTCCGTCGTCTTGCTCTTCGCCCGTTTAGGGATGGCTTCTCCTTCCTCCCGTTCCTTCTTCCGGCCTTCCGTCTTCCGCGTGTTGCTGTTCTTCTTCTTGGCCCGTTTAGGGATGGCTTCTTCTCTGCCGCGTTGTTTGCCTTTTTCGTCGTCGTCCTCTTCTTGTTTGCCTATTTGTTCGTGGTCCTCGGTCCCCTCGCGCTGTTTGGCTTGCCGTCTTCGTTCCCTACCGTTGCTTCATCGTGCTCTTCCTCATGGCCCCTCTGCGGGATTCGACGCCCTCTTCCTCGAGCATTGGCTTTGTCCTCGTGTTTCTCTGGGCGGGATGCGTCGCCTTAAATACGCACACTTACTTTCTTTCTTTCTTTCTTTCTTTCTTTCTTTCTTTCTTTCTTTCTTTCTCTCTTTCTTTCCCTCTTTCCCTCCTTCTCCCCTTCTCTCCTTCCCTTTTCTCCTGTTCCCTTCTCCTTCTCTCCTCCTCCTCTCTCTTCGTTTTTCCTTCTTCCCGGGCGGGATGCGGCGCCCTAAATACGCACCCTGTTTCTTTTTCCCCCCGGGCGGTTGCGACGCCCTAAATACGCTCTCTCTCTCTTTCTCTCTCTCTCTCTCTCTCTCTCTCTCTCTCTCTCTCTCTCTCTCTCTCTCTCTCTCTCTCTCTCTCTCTCTCTCTCTCTCTCTCTCTCTCTCTCTCTCTCTCTCTCTCTCTCTCTCTCTCTCTCTCTCTCTCTCTCTCTCTCTCTCTCTCTCTCTCTCTCTCTCTCTCTCTCTCTCTCTCTCTCTCTCTCTCTCTCTCTCTCTCTCTCTCTCTCTCTCTCTCTCTCTCTCTCTCTCTCTCTCTCTCTCTCTCTCTCTCTCTCTCTCTCTCTCTCTCTTTCGTTCTTTCTTTCGTTCCTTCTTTTTTCTCTCTTTCTCTCTTCCTTTCTTCGTTTCCTCCCCCCCCCCCCCTTTTCCAACTACTTCCTGTTCTTCCTCTTCGCCCGTCTAGGGATGGCCTGGTCCTCTTCTCGGTCTTCAACTTTGCGGTGGTGGTCGTCTTCCAGGTTTAGGAGGGTTTCTGGGCTGTTTGGGGTTTTTGCCCTCGGCGGTGACCCTAAAACTCGGGTTCCCCTGTTTTTCGTGTTTCTCGGTTGGGGTTTTGCCCGCGGAGACCCAACGTGGGGCTTTCTGTTTCTTTTGGGTGCCTGCTCCGTTTGTTTTCTGTTGGGGTCTTCGTCCGTCTTTCGGGCGCTTCTTCTCCCCCCCGAAAAAGTGTTTCTCGCCCCTCATTGAGGGGCGTGTGTGTGCGGAGTGACAGAATGCCCTGTCACCACCTTTTCGGTTTCTCAGCAGGGGGGTCACCCGCAGTCACGACCGGTGACCCAACGAAGAGGGCCGTGACCTGCGCTGATATCTGACCTGATCAGTCAGACGTACCTGCCGAGATGGTTGTGTTGTTCTGAATGTCCTTTTGGTCCCCCCCCTGAACTGCCGTTGCTTCTGGGTGTCCCTGTTAAAGTAGCTACAGGGAAGCCAAGCGTTATGCGAGTCGAAGCTCATCATACTCGAGACTCATCAGTTGTACTCGAGACTCATCAGTTGTACTCGAAAGATTAGCACTCTCCACTTGGAGTTTAAGTGTGGAGAGAGTGGTTTCAAGATTTGGCTGTGGGTCGAAACTGGTGAATTCACCCATTTTAGAACCTATTTTAGAGGGGATTGGGATGTTCACTGGGGGTACGGGATTTTGACCCATGGCCATTTGTGTTTGCCAATCAACATATGTTTTTGCCAATTGACATGTTGTTTGCCAAGCAACATGGACTCTTTCAGCGGTGTTAATGGATGTTTGCCCTCTTCTGTTGCAAGCATTAAAGGAGTCTACAACCGGCTGCTGTCGCACAGGGCGTTGGCAATGCTGGCAAATCGCAGTGTGCATGCTAGACTAATTGGTACAATTTGCTGATCACGATGCTGTGCAGCATACGGGCGTTAGTTCGAGGGCACCCTTTTCTGCTTTGTGCAGAGGGAAGCCAATAGGAAACCCAGCCTTGATTTTGTGTCACGCAAATCCCTACAGCAGCAAAGCGTGTTTCTTTTGGACGCTGTTGATCACGCCGAGGGATCCTGGAGATGGCGTGGAATTGGAGGAGCTGAGAAGGGTCCTTGTATTTAGTATGAGTCACGGTCAACCTGGGTAATTTGGTGATTCTGCTAGGCTTTCTTGTTGGTTTCAACATCAAAATGGCGATGATCAGATGAGCTTCCTTGCATGATGTTCGAAGGGCCCTGGGAATTTTCCCTTGGCCTATCCCTTGTTCTGGCTGGATTGCTTGCAGTCTCCAACCGCGCCATGTGGTTCCAGACGTCAGGAGCTGCGCGGAACATGCGACGAGCTGAAAGCGCTGCTTCAGCGCGAGCGCCATGACCACGCCGTGGAGGCGTCGTAGTCTTTGATAGAAAAAAACATGGCTGAATTTGGCGCCAAATGGGTGATACATGGGCCCTGGTGGGACTTGAAACCTGTCTGACATTGTCAGTAGACGGTGGAGGGTACTTAACCCAGACTGAGACACACCATGTGGAGTTGACGTTGTGCAGGGAGCCGCCATATTCCTGGAACAACTTCTTTAGTTTCACAGAAATCTTCTTGTTTTGGGACCTGGTGTAAATTTGCCGGAGACTGTTCACCCCGGAGTATTCCACATGGAGTAGGGCGGGTGCTTCTCCTCTTGAACGGGTCCCATGGATTTTTGTTTATCGCACACGTAGGGGATCCACTGCAAAGTTTGGCTGTCAAGTTGATGCATAACAGGAAGACATGTTGCCAATTGCGTAGGTTGGGCGATTGGTCGCCAAACTCCGTGACCAAGAGCTAGTGGCCAGAAGCTTAAGGTCGCTCAAGTCGGCAAAGAAAATTAGGGGCTGGCTGTTTTTAGGGGACTCCCCAAAATGGTGATAATCCTTTTGGTTTCCCTTTAAAAGACACAAAAAAGGGGGTACCCTCAAAAAAGACACACTGATTTGTCCGAGTGTTTTCAGAGGGCACAGCCCGTTGAGTTGGTGAAGTCAGAGAGTCGCCACATTTTTTCTCCCGATGAATTTTCTTTGTGTCTGAGAGTGGCGACTGCGAAGGCCCGCGCGCAGGGCGAAAGTGGCGGCGCATCTGTTAGGTTTGCTCCTCAGATACCATAGGTTCGTTCATTTCTTCATTTGGGAGGGACAAGAAGGGGGAACTCACTACATTTCCCACAACTGGAGGACGATGATTTTCCTGTCCTCTCCGGGGAACAACAGAATCGAGCGTGGCTCATCACGAGGTCCTTTGGCGGCTCTCCGGAGGCCAATGCTCCGTTGGATCATCATAGTCATAGTAGTTGTGTGGTCATTTTTTCATGCCCCTACTGATTTATCAAGGTTGATAGCAGCCAGATAAATCATATTCACATGCTTATGCCAAGCCAGATACACTTCTCTCTGCCCGACATGGTTCCAAGTAAACTATGTTTTTCCAAGGCACGGAATTGTTTTCAGCACTGCACCACTTTTGACCCAATGCCGTTCAGGCTGCCACCAGCAGCCCTAGTGCTGCGAGGCATGGACGCAGATTTCACAGAACGTGACTTCGGCTCCGCCTTGATCCTTGCAAGATCCCGCAAGATCCCAGAAGACGCCCGAAGACCCCACGAGCCTGTGCGGCAGGGCGAACTCGAAGCAAGCGTTGTGGCCACGCGGCCAGGACGTTGCACAGGACCTTGACCTTAAGTGCTACAGAGCAGAGAGCGTTGGGTTTCACATCTGGATGATGTTGCTTGGATCCTGCAAGGAGTCCCCAGCTGCGGACGGGGGGGATGCAGATGCCCGCGGCAGATTAGCGAGTGCTGCAAAGGCCTTGTGTTTGTTGCGCAGGGTTCATTTGGGCGCATGTGTGACAGATTGGGATGTTCTTGCCCGATGCTGTCTTCTGTTTTACTAGTGACGGATCTTAGAAGTGCAATATGTTCAAAGCATTCCCTATCACCGATTCTTCAATCAGCGCAAGGGAGTCTGTTCCAGCACTGCCGCTTCAGTGGTTGCTGTGCCACAGTTCAGGCTGCCACCAGCAGCCCTAGTGCTGCGAGGCTCGCCTTTGCAGCTTGTTGCATGGGGCGCAGCTTTCACAGAGCGTGACTTCGGCTCTGTCTTGATCTGGCAAGATCCCAGAAGACCCCACAAGCCGCTGCACCGCAGGGCGACCTCGAAGAACGCATCGGGGCCACAAGGGCTGGATGTTGCGCAGGACATGTCACAAGCGTACACGCGCAGCGGCGATGGGTGTTGGTGACACATTGTGATGATGTCGCCGCTGTTTGGATATTTCTGCAAGGAGTCCCCACCTGCAGACGCGGGGGAAGCAGATGCCCGCGGCAGATTGGCGAGTGCTGCAAAGGCCCTGTGTTTGTTGTGCATTCATTTGCGCGCATGTGAGGCAAATTGGGATGTTCTTGAGTGCTCCGGATTGGGGTTTGAAGGTGTCCAGCATGTGTATGACGCACTAAGTCGTTGATGTCAGCAACGCTTGGGTGCCCGATGCTGTCTTCTGTTGTACTAGAGACGGATCTTAGAAGTGCAATATGTTCAAAGCATTCCCTATCACCGATTCTTCAATCAGCGCAAGGGAGTCTGTTCCAGCACTGCCGCTTCAGTGGTTTCAGTGCCACAATTCAGGCTGCCACCAGCAGCCCGGGTGCTGCGAGGCTCGCCTTTGCAGCTTGTTGCATGGGACGCAGCTTTCACAGAACGCGACTTTGGCTCCGCCTTGATCCTACAAGATCCCGCAAGATCCTACAAGACCCCACAAGCCAGCATACCGCAGGGCGACCTCGAAGAACGCATCAGGGCAGGACGTTGCACAGGACCTTATGTGATGCTACACAGCAGAGATGAGCGTTGGTTAGATGATGTCGCCATGCTCTGGATTCTGCAAGGAGTCCCCAGCTGCAGACGCAGGGGATGCAGATGCCCATGACAGATTGGCCAGCGCTGCACAGGCCCCGTTTTTGTTTCGCAAGGCATGCTGGGAACACAGTTCCTGGACTCTGCGATCTTGGGCGCCTGATGTCCTCTTGAGTAGGTTGTGTTCAAAGCATTCCCAATCACCAATTCTTCAATCAGCACAAGGGAGTTTGTTCCAGTACCGTGCTGCTTCAGTTGTTCCAATGCCACGATTCAGGCTACCACCAGCCCCGATGCTGCCAGGCTCGCATGGGCCACAGATTTCACAGAAAGTGACTTCGGCTCTGCTTTGATCCCGCAAGATCCCGCAAGATCCCAAAAACACCCATGCGGCAGGGCGAACTCGAAGCACGCCCTGGGGCCAAGCGGGCAGGACGTGCAGTTGACTCGAAGTGATGTAGCTTGCCATACAGTTCAGATGCGCGTTGGTTTCACATCTAGATGATGTTGCCATAGTCTGGATCCTCCAAGGAGTCCCCATATGCAGATGAGGATGCAGATGCCCATGACAGATTGGCCAGCGCTGCACAGGCCATGTGTCTGTTGAATTTGGGTGCATAATGTAGCCAGATTCGGATTCGCTTCACTTTCAACGCAGTCCAGCATTAACTTGTACTGCAATTTGAGATGTTGATGTGTCATCAAGAGGTTGGTCAAGTTGCTTGGCTGTGTGATCTTGTGCACCAGATGATTCGCTGACGATATACGATTTGCAGATGTATTCTGAAAGGACCCCTTCACCGATTCGGGGAGTCCGTTTGTCGCCATTGTGTCACTTCACCTACACCAATGCCACGGTTCAGGCTGCCACCAGCATTGCGCAGGACATTGTCTGCAGAATGCTACATGCACGGCACAGTTGTGTGTTTGTGAGGCATTTAAGTGATGTCGCCATGGTTTGGATCCTGCAAGGAGTCCCTAGCTGCAGACGGTGGTGATGCGGATGTCGCTGTAGAGGTCATAGTCTTGTTGCACGGCACGTGCCATTTGGGTCCATGTGATCCAGATTTTGATGTGCATCACTTCAGTACCCTGAGGGTAGATTTGTTTGCTTCTCCCGACGAGTTTCGCAAAACCAGAGCTGTAGGTGGTGATCTCATGCTGAGCTCTTGATGAAGCGTCGGACTTGAGACATGCGCAGGATGGCCTGGCTGAGACTGCACAGGCCGAGGAGGGGATGGAACTTGTACGTGAGACATTGGTTGAAATGAGCGATTTTTCCTGTGTGATCTTGTATGTTTGATCAGGCCACGAGTGGTGCTTGCATTGGCGCGGCAAGTGCGCAAGCGGTCTGCGAGGCGGCTGCTGCACAAGCCAGCTCGGATGCTGAGGTGGGCCGAGCATAGTTGTCCAACTGCGCCATTGATTCAAGCCTGACCGCCATGGGTGGCATTCATGTGAGTAGTGATGGGAGGACATGGGCACACCCAAGTTTTCCAACAAAGAATACAAAGAGTCTTGTCCGTGGCTCATGTGAATGTTGGCACGTTTGCACTGGAAGGGTTTCGCGAACCTCGAACGCGACTTAGCCAGGCAAGCGAGGTCGACAGAAGGCTGTGGCCCCATATGTTCTAGCAAGTCTTATCTAGGGAGAGGTTTCAGAGCTTTTGGGCAGCTTGCGAGTTGCGAGGCCTGTGGATGACCAGCCTGCGGAGATCTCTGATTCAAACCATGAGGAGACGATGAAAGCCAAATGTGCGCGGTTGTTTGCAGTCCTTGGCATATTGTTTGTTTGCTTGCACGCGGGCGTTTATCTGGTGTTCTGACTTTATGTGGTGTTCTTACTTTGACCACTGGTTAGATGCTCCGGGAGTTCGCTAAGGGCTCATCAACCCCTTGAAGACCCCCAGTCAACTCCCGGCAAGCCCTTGGAAACCGCGATACGAAGCATTAAGCCAACTCCCCTTATCGACAAGACTCTCTGCACCGTCGCCGACGTTAGAGGCCCCGCCTTCGCAGACAGCATCTCACACAACTTGTACCTGACGTCCTCTCTTGGAACCATTTTCCCGTCGGCTTGTTTTCCTTTGATTTCCCTGACCAACCCTGTAGCGGGTGCCTCAGAAAACGGTAGGCGGGTCGCGGATGTCAGGAGCGCCACGCAGCAGGCTCGTGCTTTCAGGGTTCGTTGGCTGGTCAAAAATAGGTGCTCAAAATGGAAGCCTGGTAAATGGAAACAAGGACTAAAACCTGCGGTCCCTATGGTGGTAGAATTTTGACCCAGACCGATACCCACTTCAGCCACCTCACTTTTGTTCTAGCTATTTTCTTGTTTTACCTTGATTTAAAAAATCAAATAAAATGTGCCATTTACTTGCCCCCAATCAAAATGCAGCCTTTCAAGGAAATTCGGCAACCCTAAATTGAGCTCTACTTCGGTCCAGTCAATAACTTGGTTTCTGTTGCCCTTTACCGGTTTTCAATTGCAAAGCTGCGTGCTGCAACGCCAGGTACTGATAGTTCTGAGAGCGAACCTTAGACGGGTCGCAGACGAACCGCCATAGCCTCAAACTGGAAGTGTGCAGCCAAAGGCGCTGCGGCTTCTTGTTAACGCACCAGCTATTGCGCATCGCATAGCTCCATCGAAAGTCCGAGCATTGCCCGGTCTGGGCTGACTTGGGTTTCTCTGACGACTTGCAAGTTCTTGAGCAGAGTGCTCCGCGAAAACTGCTTGCCACGTTTTGCTTTTGGCTCAGTTGCCCAGTCGCAAGCGGGCACGCTGTATTGATACTTGCCAAATGAAGCACATGCCTGTGGGCATGAGGTTTGCCTTTGCGCTATGCCTCGTTTCCTGCAAGGCCGAGGGGGAGATGATTTCTAGGCTGCGAGCGCGGTCGCAGTCTGCGGCAGAAGCGGCAAGCGAGCTGCAGCACATGCTGCAGGATGGCTTCATTACTGAAAACTGGGGAACTGTTTTCCCTTGGTGGCGTGGATGAAAAGCGTAAACCCTTGGTTTTCACCCTTTGGTTGCCTTTAGTTTGGTAGAAAAACGTTGAAATCAGGAGACACGGCGCACGGCGCACTTGCGAGCCTTGCAGGATGGGAAGATGAGCATTCCCCTGAGCCTGCAAGCCATTCAGACCACCTTGGTGAAGATGGGCCACGAAGTGGGCAACGACACCGCGGTGACCACCGCAGATTTCGCCAAGAGTATCGAGCCTCTGCTCTTCTCCATGCAGGACGGGCTGGGCGCTGCATGTGAACCAATCATCAACTGGTCCACTTTAAAACCGAATCAAAAGGAGGTTGGGTTGGAAGTCTCGTGCAGAAAAGGGCTTCACGCCCCTTGTTGCAGGTCCCCTTAAAGGCGCCCGCTTGTTTCTTTTCCTTTTTTGTTTCGGCCAGAGAGCTTTTTTTTCTTCCGTTAGGACACCATCCGCAGTCAGAACAACCTGACGCAGCAGACCTTGGACAACTCCTGGACCACCTTCACCGCGTGCAGCTTCGACTTCTCCGGCCCCACGGGCTTCGAAGATGTGGCCGCGCTGGAGAACTCTCACACCACCTGCCGGGTGGAGGAAGGCATGCAGCTCAAGCGAGTTTGCTTGGGGACTTTGAGACAGGTTGTCGGGAAAACATCATTTTCTTGTGTGTCCATTTTTTCCCCAATGAACAGGAAAAGACACATAGGTCTTGTGCCACCATTTGGTTGGATCTTTCCGACTCGAACCGTTTTGGTTTCCAGGGCTTGTGCCAAGGCAGAAGACGGCCCTGGACGCATGCCGCATCGTTCAGGGCAACAAGGAGTCCACGCTGAGTGACGCAAAGAAGGACTTCCATGGAGACGACCAGGGCGGAATCAAGGGCGCCTCGCTTGAACGAGAAAGTCCCACGCAAAGGGTTTTCTGAACTGGAGCCCGGTTTTCACTGGCAACATGGCAGTGGGTCAAAAATGGGTACCCAAAATTCAACCCTGGTAAATGGCCTCAAAGGCTAAAGCCGCGTAACCCTAGCTCTTTAGTTTGGAGCCACACCCATATCTGGCAATGGTTTTCTAGGGGTTGATTCCCCATTCTTTTCAACCATTGTTCTTTCCAAAAACCGGCCGTTTTCCCTCGGTTTCCGGAGGTTTTCCAGAAAAAGGATCCGTGGAAAAAATGGGGAAGGTACCCCTAGAGGTTTGCCTGTCTTCGCAACCCGTTTTTGGTGACGCGTTCAGGCAAGAATGCTCTGCCCGAGATCAACGCCTGCGACTTTGAGCAGGTGGGCGCGACCTGGACGTCGCCGCAGCTCTGAAAGATGTGGCTGTGGTTGTCAAAACCGTTTTGGGATCCCATTTTGGTTGGTAGGTGAATTCACCACCCAATTTAGTCTACTATATTTTGGGGTAGGTGCACCACCCATTTTAGTCAATTTTATTGTGGGGTAGGTGAATTCACCACCCATTTTAGAACCTATTTTAGTGGTTGGATTGGTTGATGTTTTAATTGGGGGTACGATTTGGATTTTGACCCGTGGCCTTTTGTCAACGAATGAATCTGCCACAGTGGGGTTTGTTTCCCAAGCCCCAGAAAAATCAACTAGGGGGTTCACTCAGCTTTGGGTTCTCATTGCCCACCAAGAGGACATGACGCCTCCCATACTGCAGGGTTTAGGGTATGGGAGGGCACCTTGTTTGGCAGGGGAAGGCACCATCGTCGAATCGTATTCGCTCGCAAAGCTCTGCGTGTTGCAACTCGCTCGAGGAAGGAGTATCTGGAGTACTTTGAGAATCACTTTGGAAACCTGCTCAGTGACTGGCGCTCGTCGAGAGATGCGGTAGTCAATGCGCAGAACGCCACGAACCTCCAGACCACCCTTTGCGATTCAAAGGAGGCCATCAGACTTGGCGACATGTGTTTAAAACAACTCCCTGGCCTCCTTTAAAGGGAAACCAAGAGGAGTTTGTTTGAACCATGGGGGTTTGAGCATGTTTAATGTTGACTCCGGATGAATAAACCCTGTCTATTTATATGGGGTGTTCCCCTCCAAAAGTGATGATTCCCACTAAAACCAGGGACACCCCCATAATAATAAACAGGGGTTTATTAGTCCGGGGTCAACATCAGGGGGTGGGTTGGGTTGGCGAGGCCAACTACACCAATCAGAAGGGCGACTGCGGTCAGTTCCAGAAGGCTGGGTGCGTTATAACGAGCTCACACGACCGAATTCACCCCAGATGGTGGTTTATGTGGGGAATAGCCCCCAAACCACCTGGCTGTGGGTCAAAAATATGTACCCCAAAATGGAACCCTGATAAATGGAAACTTGGACTACAGTCTGCGGTCCCCTGGTGGTTTAATGTTGACCCACACCCCGCAAGTTTCAGGCTGGTAAAATACTATAATTCACCCAGAGAAGGCCTTGGAGAACGCCGCCTGCGACATCCTCACGCACAACACGGCATGCCGCAGCTACACCGGCTGCTACAACCGGGAGTTGCATGCCTATGGAGAGGCGCAGAAGCTGACCAAGAGCCTTGCTCGTTTTTTTTTTTTTGTCTCGACCTTCAACTTGCTGGTAGGCCTTCGGAATGAGTTGGTGAATGACCCCGAAGGGAACCATCCAACTGGTGGCTTCCGTAAAGATCCGTAGATTTTTTGCCAAGCCCCTTGACCATTCCCCGGAACCGGTTATTTCACCTTTTGCCTTGTAGAAAATGACTCTGTTCTGACCAACTGAGGAATCAGGAGGCTGAGCAGCAGGCGGAGATGATGGGAACGCTGAAGATCTTGTGCCTCAGCTTTACTAGAGGCTGACTTGGGGTCCACTAGGGAGCCGGAATGAAGGCAACTGAGGCATGCGAGCCGGAATGTGGCTGTGGCTCAAACAACCGGAATACCAAAATGGCTTGCGCTGGTAAGTGGAAACCACAACCTGCGGTTTGCCCCTCCTGTTTAATTTTGAGCCACACCCATGTTGTGTAAGGTCTTTGCCATAGGCAATGCGCCATTCCAAGTGCTCGCCGAACGCTTCGGATTTTGTCCACGGTAAACAAATGTTCTCAGGACGCGCGAAGATACGCGAGTCCACTATGAGTCCCCCTTCGTGTCTCTTTCAAATGGACCATGAACGGGATATAGATATATATATATATCTATAAATATGGGGTGTCTTTTTGAGGTATCCCTTTTTGGTAGGTTTTAAAGGGAACAAGAGGAGACCCACCTTGTCTTGTGGGGGGTGTCCCTTTCCCAGAGGCACAACCGTATGTTTTGACCAATCCTTGAGGTGCATGATTCGAGCATTCGGGAAGCCCGATCTGAACCAGAAGATCGATGTGTGCCTGGCAACCGACTACAGCACTACTACTGAAGTGGATGCCTTGAAGATCAGCTACTACCCGAACAGCCAGTCTCCCATGTGCACTGCTTGCAGTGGCTCATTTTTTTTTTAGGACCCCACTGAAGGGTTTTCCGTTTTTTGTTGGTTCCCGAAGGGACACCAACCCAAAAACGAAAATCGAAAAAGATGCCCGCATAGACACACAACGACAGAAAATAATAAGACGTAAACACACCGCCTTTGTGACGTCCGCGCGAACCACAGAAGTAGACCGTGTTCTTCTCCGCTCGTTCTCCTCGTTTGCGGGCCTCAAGCCGAGGCCCGTGGACCAGCGCCCGAAGTGCGCCTCCACGTTCAGAGCGTCCATGATCCCGGGCACCGGCAGCTTCGAGAACTCCCACTACGGAAGCGGGGCAGCGGGGTGGAAGGGGTGTAAGGGGCGCTCGAAAACGGGAAGCAAGAAACCCCAAAGCTGAAGTGTGTATTTGCACGTAGACTGGTGAAAGACACGTGAAGAGAGAGAGAGAGAGAGAGAGAGAGAGAGAGAGAGAGAGAGAGAGGGGGGAGAAAGAGAGAGAGGGCGAGAAAGAGAGCACGGCAAATCGACGGACATTTGAGTGTCGTTTTCCGGAGTCAGTATCCTATTTTTGCAAAGCGAAACTCAGAATAAACCAACGACTGGTAGAGACCCCTAGTTTTGCACACCCACCTAGTTTTCACACCCACTTGCCGCTAACTGGCAGGCCTGCCGAGCAATGCCCCTTACAATACCTGCTCAGCATCCTGCTGCGGCTATGCGGAGCCCACCTGCGTGAATTACGGGTGCAGCTCAGGGTA